TATATCGCCGCAATCCCACAGTATACAAGTTACTGAGAAATGATAAAAAGAATGACAACCAGATCGCTACCTCCGGTATTTACTCCATACCAATCAAAGACCGTCGCTTTGATTCAGATAGTGTTTATATAGGTGCTACTTTGAGAAGCTTGGAACAAAGAATCAAAGAACATAAATACTCGATTAGAAAGAACAACGATAGCACCGTTTTAGTATCTTATGCCAACCAGCAAGGAATTGAGGTCATATGGGACCAAGCTTCCATCATTAGACCCACGTCTAACAAGCACTCCATCAAACATCTCGAAAAACTGGAGATTTATAAAGCCCAAGGGAAAACTACTTGTATCAATCATAGGGACGCCCACTCTCTATCCACAGCATGGAAATCATTCTATGAAGATAACCTGTAATTTTTACGAAACATTAATTTTTAATGAGAAACTGTTGAGCTCTTTATTTTTATTTATTTATTTATTTATGTACAGTATTTATTTACTTTTAGTCTTATATCCCTAACTTTTTGTATTTATTCCGTTAAGTGCTCATCATTACGCATGCGCAGTTATTATTTTTTCGTAAATTTAATTTTTGTTTTATTTTTAATGTTCTTTCAACTGATGAAGATTGCTAAAGACGATCGAAAACGTTTTTATATTATTAAATTATTTGCTGGAATTTATAAAAAAGGTGATATTTTATGTATTTTTCATTTTTTGATTGCCAATAGCATAAACCTGAAACTGTATGTGGCAAATGTGTGTATAGTGGATCCTACTGTATTAAAACTTGTTCATGTCACAATGGCTAAACATGTGACATATAAATATTTATCAATGTGCAAGATAATATAATTATGATAATATTTAAAACATCATCATGCATAAGCTGAATGAAATGAAACCAGTGTAAATAATAATTAAAGGAGCAATGTTTGATGTGTGCCTTTGATGGTTATTAGAGACCATACATCCCAGATTGATGTGCTGGTCTTCAACTTTCTTAATGAGTATGTTCTCATTCAAAGCTATAATTAAGTTTTCTGAAGTATACAGAGTGACATCCTTTGAGTGGTGCATCAGATCTGCATCTTTCCAGTTTACTAGCACTTTTTATTAATTAGTAACTCTTCTGCTAAAGTAGTTAAGTCTTCCATATTTAATGTCTTCCTTGTGTTCTTTGCATTAATCTGAAAGTTTTCTGTAAATACACTGTTTTATACTATTACTTGTGTTTCTCGTTCAGGCATTCTATAAATTCCACTTTGGCAATTTCTTTATCCTTAATTAATTGACTTCTTTATAACTGTTAGTGTTTGTGTTCAATATTTGAGATGTTGTTATTAGTATAATATAGCAGTTTCCTTATCTGATGTTTCATTACACAGTCAACTCTGAGCTAAAAATATTAAAAGGAAAATTCTATAAGTAAACAATTTATAAGTTAAAGTAACCCTGTTTGTTCCAAAACACAAGAGTAGTGATGCTAGCAATTTGGATGTGCAAAAGAGATGATGTAAAATGAAACCTTTAAGTGAAAAGATGAATGTTTTTAACTTAATAAAGAAACAAAAAGACAAGTATGCTGAGTCCACATTCACATAACCTTTATTACACTATATAGTTATAATTGTTTTGTTTTATTATTAGTTATTTTTACATTTTTAATCTTTTAAATGTATGTACACAGATATATGTACAGTACAGGAAAACATAATTTTTATATGATTTGATACTATTTGCAGTTTCAGGCATTTACCATGGGATCTTGGAACATATATCTCCCATGGATAAGGAGGCAACTGTACAAAATATTTATAATACCAATTACATCATTCAAATGATATACAAAAGTTGCTGGTCCTCTGTTTATTTCCAAAATTATCTATAATTAAAATTAACATTGGATGACAACACATCTATTTACACCTATTTTATAGGAAGTTCACTTATCACCAAGTTCACAAGTCAAAATTACCATAAAATATAACCTAAGAAGTTTGCTGTGCTCTGTCCCACATTTAGGACAGAGAGAACATACTACACTTCAAATATGAGGAGGTAAAAGTAGTTTTGTCATTAATATATGTAGAAAATAATAGAAATCTACATAAACCATTAGATCATAATCTATTTGGTAAATAAAATTGCAAAAATTTACACAATAATCTCAAGAAAAAAACATGGAAGTCTAATGTCAGAGTCAGCAGTGACTTAATTTAAAATTTTTTCAAATAGTGGAGATAGAAATGCCTCAGAAAGAGAATTCAAAAAAGGTGTAATTTATTAGTAAATATATAGTTTCCAGTTAATACATGACAATTCAAAAATTGGATGCAAACAAATTTGAAGACTGGGACACCTCTGTAATGTTATATATGACATGAAAATATTGTATATAACATTAGAGAGAAAGTATTGACAGAAGTAATTATATATTTCTTTCCTGATGAATATAAAATATTTCTAACATGAAATTGTTTTCAAATCTCTCTGAACATACTTTTATTTATTTTTAAGGCTATATCTATAAAAACTAGCTTTCAAAAAACAAATTTGAGTATGTGTAATGAGCATTCTAGACATTTAAGTAGTGCATAGTTTAAAATAGGTTTAAAATTATAGTGCTAAAATAGCATTAAAATAACATAAAAATAAAAATAATTAAAAACAATGAATAGGAATATTTCAGCCATATGCTTCTCTTCAATTGCCTTTAACGTACAATTACAAATTGATTTATAACATTTAAAAATTTAAAAAAAAAAAAAAAAACAGAATTATCAGTATATATTTACCTTATTAAACTCTGGCATATATTTCTAAAAATTATTTACAATTTGACTTTTAAAGAAATATCTGTCAGAGTGTATTAATTAAGGTAAATATATACTTATTATAACTCTGTAATTTTTTAAAAATCAATTTGTAATTCTGTTAAAGACAACTGAAGAGGAGCATATAGCTCATCTTGCATGTACTGTACAGTACATGGGTAAATTAAGTTTTTTTATTGGTCAATAAAAGAGGATTTTAAAAAGGCCATGTATTGCTCAATCTTCAAATTGAAGACAACATAACCTAATAGTTATTTAAATAATTCTAATTAAATGCACAGTTCTACTGAATTTTATTCATTTTCAGAATAAAAAGTTAATATTGTTTACTTTAGAAATTGAAATTTAGTAGTAGTAATAAAATTGTTTGAAAACAACAGTAAGATAAGTAATGTGGATATTTCTTTTAGTATTCTGGCTTCCAACAGACAGCTGAAAAATGTGCAGTATGTAATCATCTTATTATGGAAATGGTATGTATATTTATATTTTATTTAACATATTCAGATGTTGTTACAAAAGGTTACTTTATATAACAATGTACAGTGTTATATAACAAAGTATATAATATATACATCTGCAGTGTACATTGTTGTATATAACATTGTATATGTAATTTATTGTCTCTCTATGTGTCAGATGAAATTTTTCAATATTTCTTACTCTGTTTTGTAATTCTGTTAGTTTGCCAGCTGCAATGCAAAAACATAAATAAATAAAAATATTGATAAAATTAATGGGAAATTCATGATTTTTTTAATTCATTAAGAATAAATCATAGTCTAACTCAGGAGTGGCCATCAGTTTTTGCCCCAGGGCTGAATTGGAAAGAAAACTTTTTCCACGGGCCAAACCAGAGGCTGCCTTATCAAGATTTTGAGGTGGTGCGAGATATCATTGTGGTGTCACTTCGTGGAGATTAAATTGTAGATAGAGATTACAGATACATTTTTCACATTATCATGCTTTATCAACATTCTATGCTGTACCTAAGAGATTTGTAATGGAGGAACTCTAAACGTACAGTGAGTTGTTGACCTTTTTTTTTTTCTTTTAGGCGTCAGAATTTTTCATCGACCTATTCAGACTTGAGTAGCTAATATTGAAAGATTAATCACAGACCACATTAATTCATTAGACGGGCCGTATGTTGGCCAAGCCTGGTCTAACTTGTTGTTGAGGATATTAACAGCAAATTATGTGTATTCTGCATAATAGGATTGAATAGGAGAAATGGAGACATTGAAGTTAGAATGGTGATCAACACAAACTTTTACATCTAATGCAATAGTGCAACATGCCCAGCACTGTAAATTATACATGCCCATGGCTTTGATTTTGTCATCCCATTCAGGATGATGAAATCAAAACCATCAGGACCATTTGGAATCATCATCCTAATGGGATGATGATTCCAATTGGTCATTGTTCAGGTAAAGGACTGGTCAACATGACGATTAAAAGCAGTGAATCCTATGGGATAAAAATTACAAGTGCAGTAATCAGTAGTGGGCTGTTCAATGGTATAGTTAGCACACCCTTGTCCCCCTTCTCATGAGACCAAATCCTATCTTAGCTCCAATGAAAGATAGCAGCACAGTTTAAATTAGAAAGTCATAGAGAATCTCAATATCTGTACAAAATGTTTTTGTCCAGTTAAAATACTCAAAGAGAAAGCTAGACACCACTTTTTTTTTTTAAAGAAGGTTTTCTTGTATAAGTGGGACCACAATAGTTCTATTTAATAGCAATGTAAATTGAGATGAACCTGTAAGTGAATACACTATTTTTCTTATACTGTAATTCATAAAAGAAAGTTTAAAATGATAACATGTATTAAAAATGATTTGTTTCTATTTCCTTTTATCATTTAGCTTTAATGTGCAAAAAACTATTCATATTAAAATGTAACTACAAAAAACACGTTTTTAATAATTCTATGGCAATATGAATGAACTGTAATAAAATCATTGATTCATTAAAATGCTTGATAATGCATGCATTGTCTTCAACAATGCATGCATTATCAAGCACTGTCACAACATAAGAACATATCTGAACACTCGGCACTGGAAATTCATAAATCAATAATAAAAGGAAATAACATCAACTTTAAAGATCAGCCTCTATCTAAAACATGACAATATTTTTGTAAAAAACAATTACCTCCCACCGATTGACAAAAAACAAGGATTATAACTGTGCATTATATCAATATTTAATTTTATTTTAAGTTTACATAATTTTTAAAAACTCATTACCAATATTTCTTTTTTATTTTTATTTTATTTCTTAATACGTTATGTATTCATTTATTGGTTTGTTCCAATTTTTAAACTAATATGTCCTTAAGATCTGTTTAAGATGGAAAATGTTAGTTGCTAGTAAAAAATATACAACTGGAGATACATAGGTTTTGGAGAATGTTTTTATAACACATTTTGTGTTATAAAAAACATTCACCAAAACCTTTGTATCTCCAGTTGTATATTCCTTAAAATTATTGCACATATGAGCTGTATAATAAGTTGTTGTTATATATGATTAAATTCACTAAGGTATAAAAAAAAACACTTAAAAGTGATACCATATAAATCCTTTATATTCATAATTTTTCATCTGAAATTGTTATGGCTGTCTGTTTTAACAAACTGTTTGGTTATCTGAGATAGCATTGGTCAACATTACCATGTATTTTCAGATTCTACTATATGTAATTTACATGCAGTATATAATATATATTATATACTATATATATTATAAATAATTTTGTAGATTATGGAATAAAAGATTCAGAATTGGTATTAAAATGCCAATGTGAAAAGTATATTGGTTGATTCAAATCAGCCAATATATTTTCCAATGTTTACTTTTCTAAAAGTATATTGAATGGCTAAGAAAATTGGGTTTTATTAATTAATATGCAAAGAATCTAAATTTTCTTAATCAACTATCTGAGATGCAATAAGAGCTTAAGAAATGTTTTAAAGTTGATTTTAGAGACAAGCTATAGAATTGGTATGTCGTTTGCCAAGAAATCATTTAAATGTTGTAATGAATTGTGACAAATTTGCCAAATCATTATATAATTATTAAAATGCATTGAGTTTACATATTTCAATTAATTAAAATAACATGAATTCATTTTAATTAATTGAAATATGTAAACTCAAATAAAATTAGGAAATTTATAAAAACAAAGTTTCATAATGTGTTTTATATTGTATATTATAGATTTTACAGGCAATGGGTAAATCTTATCACCCTGGATGCTTTCGTTGCTGTATCTGTAATGAATGCTTAGATGGAGTTCCATTTACAATTGATATGGATAACAAGATTTATTGTGTCAATGATTATCATAAGTAATTAATATTTTTATAAATTTAAAAATTATAAAACTTTTATGTTTGAAATTTTTTAATCTCATTTTAATAATATTTTAAGGATGTTTGCACCAAAATGTGCAGCATGTGGAAAAGCTATTATTCCAGTTGAGGTAAGACAATTTTAATTAAAATTACTCTCTTAAAAATCAAGATGAGAACTAAATTTTTTAATTGAAATTCCATATAATTAAGATAAAGAATGAATAAAATAAAAGAATTAAATTTGAAAGTAATTATAAATTTTGTATGTACATTCCTCATTTAATGACTGAGTTCCATTCCTACAAGTAGGTTGTTAAGCAACTTAGTTGCTAAATGAGGAACTTAATCATTTTAATTTATTATGGATAAAGAAAAGGTGTAAAAGAAACCTAAACTTGATAATTTTGTTTTAATTTTCTCCTCTTACATATTACAAAACATAAAAACATAATCAGTGAAAATTATAAAAATTATGTGACAAAAAATTAAATTTGTTCATAAAAAAGTAAGCACTTAAAACCTTGAAATCTGGCATTATTTTAGCTTCTTTGTGTATGTAGGACCTTTTAGGCATTTTTTTTCCCAAAAAAGTCCAGTTTCACTCACATTGAAGATTTGTTCTGGCAGTAACCATCTTCTTTGATAATTTAATCAAATTGGTCAGAAAATTTTTCTTCTGCTTCTACATCTGCACTTGCCACCTCACTATTGATGGTCTGATTATACAGGTTGAATTTCCAACAAAACTGTTGAAACCATTCATGGTTTGCCATAACTATATCCATCAATTATTTATCTTTGTATGCCTTCAAAATCTCAAGATACTGTATGCCTTGGCTTGAATTATTAAAAGGTTTATCAGCAGTTTTTTTAATCTGGTTGTTAAATCAGATTGCCAGTAATTTCTCCATTTCATTAATGAGGCCTTTGCTGCCTAGTTGTTATGTCTTTAAATCCTGCCAGTTTTCACTTTCTCTTTCACACTATCTTTATTCTTCAGTATCATTGAAATAGTCAAATGCACCAAGTCTCCTGCTATCACTTTAAGTTTTTAACCAGTTTCATAATCATTTTCATCTCAAGGTTGATATCTGTACTTTGATCCTTGGCATTTCCTACAGGAAATAATGCTCTTCATTTTTTCCAGCATCTTGTACTATAGGGTGTACAATAAAGTATATGAATTTATAAACAAAATATGTCATTTTGGAGATTGTGAATGCTTCATTGACTGATTGCAGGAACAATACTAAGACTGAGGAAGGGGGGCTTCCCATGTTGGAGAGCTGGTCATAAGTCTGAGCAGTCATTAAGTGAGGAGTGTGACTGTATAATTAATTCTTATATATGCATACACAGTTGTAAAAACTGTTGTAAAATATACAATATAATTTATTTCAATAATATAATTTTAATAATAATAATTTTTTAAATATAATTTTTGTAGAGATTTTTATAAGTTCTATAAGTTATTACATCACAATATATATATATGAAGTCTTCATAAGTTTCAAGGAATAATATTAAAAACAAACTAAGGACTTTCTTTCAAGATCATTAAATAAAATTTCCTTAGTTTTGTACTTGTTTCTTTTCTAAAATGTAGTTTCATACTAAAAATTTTTAAAAATTTAAGATAAGTTAGTTTGTTGCAAATAATTCTAGTCAAAAAGGAAAAACAACTAATCTACCTCCAAATAATCAGTTCTGTAGTATAAAAGTGAACTATTGTTTATTGTTTTGTCTTTCATTTTATATATATAAAACAATAGTTCACTTTTATACTAGAGAACTGATTATATATATAATTTTGTATGAAAATATATTTTTTGGATTATTTAATGATTCATCTTGTCAAGTTTTGTTGTCTCTAAGCATTGTTAGGTCACTAACTGTATGCAATTTTAAGGGATGGACAAGGAGTTGAGAGAATTGTATGTGGGTGTGATTTGGACACTGAATCAGGCTTGCCATTTACATTTTGATCCTGTTTAATTGAGGAAAAAGTATGCTTACAAGAGTTTTGTTAATTTTGCCTATAAGGGATTCAACTTTGATTGTTCAGTTGGAAAGAGAAAGTCCAGGGAAAGTGAATGTTGCTTAGGTCATTGATGATCGGTCCCTCAGTGATTGATTTACATGTTATGGGTCAATTGCCCCAGAGCTCTTTTCGTCTAGTGAAAATAAATAAGATGAGAAGTTAAGATCAGTTAAGGTGTTTGTCCACCAAAGTACAACAAAGGAAAATTACAAATTAATTTTAAATTAAATCATGAAATTTTTTATATGACAGAAATGACATAGCATAAAATTGATTATGTAATTAGCTAAGTTTTTTATTTTTTGTAAGTGAATAAAGTGTACAATAAATCTGACTTATGGAACCTGTAACCAATGCGTGTCACTTTTTCTTTCAACAACCAAACGTTTTCATAACCCCTTCTGGGTTCTTCATCAAGATAACAGCTGGATCAAATTGATCGGTTACAGGTTCCTTAAGTCAGATTTATTGTATTGTATACAACCCGATGTGCAGTTGATATTATATATAAAGTGAATAAAGTGTTTTTAATAAAAAATTTATATAATAGTGTACAAAATGGGTCTAAATAGACTTGACCAAATATTACATAATGGAAAGGGGAAATGCAGAGACGTTAATAAGTCAGGGAATAAAGTCATAATTGGTCAGGGATAGTCAGAGAATCACAGATGGAATTACCTGTACAGACCCTGTATGTATGTTTGTTCACATTTCTTTTAAAGAAATAAGGATCAAAAATAGTGTTCTCTTGAATACCTGTCCATACCCATAACCTCATTTGACAACACTGTATATGTTAAAAATACAAATATAATAAATGTTTATGAATTAAATTTCTATAGCATTCATATTGCAATGAACAAATTTTAAAAAAGTATAGTACCAGAAGCTGAAAGTTTTATTTGAATTGTTTATTTTAGGGTACAGATGAAACAGTACGTGTTGTATCAATGGATAAAGACTTTCATGTTGATTGTTATATCTGTGAGGTATGTATTTTTATGTAGATTTTATGAGTAAGCATATAGTCTATAAAAATACCAAACATCTTTAGAATTCTTATGATAGGATGACTGATTAAATTGAAACATATACTGTATTATACAAGGATATATTGTAAATAATGCCAAATCTTAAGAGCATTTTTTGTCTTACAAGTTCTTATTGGTTAGAAGTTATATTTTATGGTAAAAGTGATTAATCCGGTGGTTATACATCATCACCAACAATTTTGGTAAATGTGATAAATTTATTTCATATATTGCAAATTTAATCACATTTATCAAATATTAAGCATAATTGCCAGTCTAGGATGGTAAATTTGATGTGTAGCTCACAAAGAATAGATCATATTAACAAGGCATTAAGTGTAATCTTTATGAAGCAATGTTTGGTTCACCCTTAAAAGTTTGACTGGAGACAACATCCCTTCCTAATGATGCTATAGCAGATGTTTATGTTGAAAAGAAAGCTACAAGAGTTGAGTCACTAGATCAAAATCAAAGTCAAAATTAGAAGAACCCAATGATGAATGCTATCACTTGGAAAAAAAGGAGAGATGTTTTTCACAATTACCAGAAACAAGTTTGTGCTGTGACAGACAATTTCTTCCAGTAGAAAATGTACCAAATATCACTCCATTTCTTAGGGAGTGTGCAATTTTCGGGAGGTTAGAGGTAACAAACATGCTCATATAAAGGAAAATGTAATTCAACAAAATACAAGTAACCAATGTAATTCAACCAAATTATGTAACCAAAATGTCATAATAGTTTTTATGTTTGAATAAGCAGTAAGAATAATTACTGTTCTATATTTTTTCCCAACAAATCTTTTGATATTTTTGTACACACAATTCTAAAATTAAACTGAAACAGCTTTATTTTAGTTTTTTTACGTTCATTATATTGTTCTAATTTTAATAAAACAAAAATTATTTTTTATTCTTTAAAATCCATGTTTACTTTATTAAAACAACACAAGATGGAAAATTTTATATTTATCAAATTTATGAACTACATTTTGGAAATTATGCAAAAATTGGTTTAAAAACAATAAATTTGTGATATGTATCAAACTTACAAAATTTATTTTGGAATTATACATAATTGCAGTAAAAGTGAGAAATTTAGTGAAATTTATCAAATTCACCAAGATGATTATGCATAATCACCAGTTAATCACTTTTACCATAACACGTACACCCTTTATGAATGTGTTATGTATGATGTGTTGAATTTCAGAAGCCAATATTTCCATGATAAATGATTTCGAAAAAAATAGGAAAAGGCTGCATAAAGTCTGAACTACAATAAAATTCTGGTATCTTTTTTTGTTAGTAAGCACAAGTATGTGTACAGTTGTGATATTAGACAGATAAAATCACCTGCTACTAGAAATACATGAATTTAAAAAATTAGATATGGACCTGTCAAGTTTTGAAGTTCCATTGTGGATGTGTCACTTTTGAGTCTGATTACACTGTTGTTCCATGGAACAAGTTTATGAATATGAAACACTAGTTCAGTCCAACAAACATTTTTTTTATTTAATTTCTCAGAATACTTAAGGTTTTGTGCATTGAATAGATGTGTTAAATGCAGCTCAAATTGTGAACAAACACACTTGTTTGTGCTAGAACACACAAACTCAATAACTGTCTTGATTCAAAACTATGTATTAGTGTATGCAGGGGAGATGTCTGTTTTGGTAGTGCAGGTGGAAATGTTGGGTTTTGGAATTACAAAAGAGCATGTTGAGCCTATATTTGTCGAATATTGAAAACTGGGGTCAACTTTAACTACTAATAGCAGGGATGGCAAACCTATGGCACACGTGCCTAAAGTGGCACTATAGAGAAATTATCTGGCACGTAACATATCATATGATTTCGATTGATCATCTGTCTTTTTCAATCATCCTTTTCTCAATAAGCTTTTTTTTTTACATTTATTGTAATTAAAGCATATTCGTATAATTTCTTTAAACATTGTTATTCGAAGCTTAAAACTTTGGCACACATAAACATCTTTAAAGCTAAGTGTACTTACTATATGGCACACGGGTTCAGAAAGGTTAGCCACCCCTGACTTATAGTATTGATATATAGCAGTGTATAATATTCTTTCTTTCACCAGTTGTTTGAAGATATCTAAAGATGAACTTACATTAGTCAATAATTAATAAAGTTTTCAAGAGAAAATTAACTTGAAATTAAATTTTTTCTAGTGTAAACAAATTTTCAGATTTATTTAATTGTTTAGTAATAAAAAAATGACTTACTAAAAATGTTGTCGTTTTGGTCTAATTTGGTTTATTACAATATATTAGTGTATTACTATGTGTACTGACATTTTTTATAATTTAATATTACAACTCCTGGTAAAAAGTATTTGAACATGATATAAGAAAATAAAGGTTGGTGTATTGTTAGGAACTGTAAATTATGCTTGGAAAAAGTTTAAAGATGCAGGAGACATAAAAAAGTTGTGTCAAAGGTAATGTCCTAAAAACTAGCAAGTCTCAAGATCACCTATTGAAAAAAATATGTTTAACACATTGACTGCCATAATGATAAAAATTTTTGCAATCTCTGAGACCAGGCATTTTATTAATTTAATAATTTGAGAAATATAACAAGTTAACAACAGTCATACTCAATATTGCAGTTTTTTTTTAAATAAGATTTTGAAATGTGAAGCAAGCATGCCTTGCACGGCCTAGATAAGATAATTTTTATGTTAGTGCTATGTGATGCACACGTACCCTGCAGTTATGTATGTTTGAATCTGAATATTCTAGGAAGAAGCTTTCATTGTACACTACATATTTGTTCAGTTTGTGTTGTTTGCTTGTATTGGTAACTACAGGTGTCTAAAAACAAGTGAAAAATGCTTTTAGACACCTTCGTGAAAGATCTTCTAAATCTGATGGTTCAAGAAGACATATATGCTTTCCAAAAGGCTGAAGAAACAAATTTGCTTCACAAATTTGAAATTGGAAAGATTCTAATATTCAAGAAATGAAAATATTTTTGGGAATGCAGTTCTGGATTGGATTAGTTCAAATGCCAAAGCTGGTATGTTATTAGTCTAATAATGTCCTTTATTCTAACAAGGTAAAATCAATTGTCCTAAAACCAATTTGAGCTTTTGTGCAATTGGCATTTCTCTGACAATGAAAGTGGAAATATTTTGAATAGGCTTTTCAAAACAAAACCCCTTATAGATTATATAAGTCAAAAAATTCAAGATGCTGTAATACCTTCATGTAATGTCTGTAGATGAAACTAGTGCCTTTTTGAGAACATTTGACTTTTCTACAATATATAAAAAATAAAAGACACAAATGGAGTAAAACTTTTCAAACTTTGTATTGAAGAAGGTTATACTTATGATTTTAAAACATACTGTGGGAGAGAAAGAAATAATTCCTTTGACCATTGTGCCAACATCTATTGTTATGGGATACTATATTTGTTGATAATTATTACACCAGCATTGAACTTGCCCATAAATTATTGGACAGACAAACTCATTTTATAGGCACACTGAGAAAAAAATCAGAAGAGCAATCCAAAAGGTGTAGGAAAAAAAACTGAAAAAAGGGAAGTTATTGCTAAAGAAAGTAGCTCTGGAGTAGTGATACTAAAGTGATGTGTTTTTGTTTTGTTGATTGTTTATTGTTTGTATATGTATTTATTTATTTATTTGACACTTGAAAAAGGCCAATGGCCACAGTGTTATTTAGTTAAAAAAATGTGATAAACGCAAAGTTTTGATGTAACAAAACATATAAATAGCGTGGTTTCTGTCACATTGAAAAATGGAAGTGAAAAATGAAAGCTAATAGTTATCAGAGACTGTAAGCAAAGTAAAAGTTTCATTGATCTATCTGATCAAATAAAAGCCTGTGCTTCTTGTTTCAAGCATTCTATCAAATGATACCACAAATTAGTTATTGAAATTCTACTGGGGTCAACAATCATGAATGCATTTATATTGTACCAAGAGGTTATTGGTAAAAATATCAGTATTACTCAATTTAGAGAAGATATTACCGAGGACTTGCTTCAAATAACTCTAGAAGTAAAGTAAACTTCAGCAGAAAAACATTTCAATTAAGAAGTAAATACCACAAGTAGACAAAGATATGTAGCTTGCTATAAAAACATGTCTGAGCAATATGGTAGGAAATATGCAACCTCAAAGGCCACTATGTCTCATTATAAGTACAGTACAATCAGTGTGATAAATTTTATTGCAAACCCTGTTTCACTAGATTTCATACATGGACATTATAAATATGTTTAGAAGTGTCATTGTTATTTTTTAATTTTTTTACTAATGTTCTCTCACCAGTATATTTTGCTTATTTTTTAAATTATAATAAAGTTTTAGTCTCCAAAACTGTCACATTTATTTATTTATTTATTGAACAAGATATAAATACAGTACAACAGAATAAAACGAATATGATGAAAAATTTATATTTATTTTTATTCTCATTATTAGGACTTAAGAATTCCAGTTATAGCTGGAACCAACACAAATAGAATGTTCACTAGATTGCCTACTTTTGTTTCACAAAGCATTTCTATTCTAACTTGAGTTATGAGCATTGCAAGTCACTTATGTTTCATGCGGCAATCAATGTGTTAAAACAATGAAAAATGCCTTCTGAATAATTAAATATGAAATGGAAGAAAAATGGGATTTTCATTTTCAAAGCCAAAACAAAACTCTTTCTGACCAAGAAACGAAAAAAAATTTGTTTAACATGGTCAAGACAGCACTAAAATTAGGCTATAGCAGACTGCAAAAGGATTATTTTTTTAGATGAGAGTCATATATGCATTGGATAGGGTGAGAATGCAGGAAATTTTGTTTGGAGATGTCCAGATGAGAAATTTAAGGAAGATTGCCTGAATACAAACACTAAGTTTCCAACAAGTTTAATAATTTGGGGCTACGTGTCAGCTGTTGGATCTGGAAATATGTTTATTCTTAATAAGGCTGTAATATTAGGAGTGTATGACGAAATTTTAGAATTATTTTTGATTCCAACAATCGAAGATCACTTTGGTGATGTTGATGCTGTTTTTCAGGATGATAATACTATATGCCATAAAGCAAACAAAATAAAGAAGTTTTAAAGTCTAAGGGCCTGCAAATAGCCCAGATTTAAAACTCTTGAAAATTTATGAACAAAGTTGAAAATGCTGGTTGATGAAAGGATGCCAACTAATAAAGATCAACTTAATAAAGCCATTAAAATTAGCTGGAGTAAAATTACTCCTTCAATGAATTAATTTTGACACTGCCAAGATGCATAAAAGCTGTAATAAAAGATTAAGAGACCAACAAAATTATTATATTCTGTTATTTTGCATCCTTTCGTTATTATTATTGTTGTTGTTGTTGTTCAAATCCTTTTTTGAGAAAATGATTTGGTTTATTCATTTGAAATTAGAGTGACTAACACTAACACAATGAACAAAATGTGCATTTTGGTTTTGAATGTAACTATTTTTTTTTCTTACATCATGTTCAAATACATTTTTCCAGGGGTTATATATTGAGTTATTGTTAAATTTTTTAATGGAGAAAGGAAAGATCAAAAAAGATAAAGAATAACAAAGAAAAGATATCTGAGTTTTTCAAATTATTTCAGCACATTAGATCATAAAAATGCACACAATTGAACCTTAAACATGAAATTCCAGAAAATTCAACACATTAGTTTTTGCTTTATCATGTTTAGTTTTTCCATTAAAGCATTTTTCAAATTATTTCAGCACATTAGATCATAAAAATGCACACAATTGAACCTTAAACATGAAATTCCAGAAAATTCAACACATTAGTTTTTGCTTTATCATGTTTAGTTTTTCCATTAAAGCATTTTTCAAATTATTTCAGCACATTAGATCATAAAAATGCACACAATTGAACCTTAAACATGAAATTCCAGAAAATTCAACACATTAGTTTTTGCTTTATCATGTTTAGTTTTTCCATTAAAGCATTTTTCAAATTATTTCAGCACATTAGATCATAAAAATGCACACAATTGAACCTTAAACATGAAATTCCAGAAAATTCAACACATTAGTTTTTGCTTTATCATGTTTAGTTTTTCCATTAAAGCATTACTTTTGAAGTTAGTTATTTATGGAATAGTTAATTATTGTTAAATTTTTATCAAAAATTTTTATTGTCATTATCATTAAAATCATTTGTAAAATTTACTTTTTTTTTTAATTACAGGATTGTGGAATGCAGTTGACTGATGAACCAGATAAAAGATGTTATCCATTTGAGAATCATCTGTTATGTCACAGTTGTCATATTAGAAGGCTTGAAGTAATGGGTCAGAATTTGGAAATTCATATGCCATTGCAAGTGGGCGATCTTTAATGAAAAACTGAAATATTAAGCAAAAATATATAATTTCTTATTATACTTTTATATATGTATGTGAATAACTGTCTTATAAAAGAAATAGAATGTGTTCCATAATCACATATATTTTAATAAGCAATCAAAGTGATGATAATTATTGTTTCCATGTTGTTAAATTCGTTGTGAATGTCATTGATACTCTATACTTGTGACCTTATTGTAGTAATCTTTAAGAAATGATATAACTAATAGAAAATTTAAATTGGCTATTATTTGATAAGAATTTAACAATACAAAGATTTTAGGGCATAATGTAGGTCACAATTTTTTAATTTCAGTAGAATTTTGTGAGCTGTTTTATTATAAAATGTAATTAAAAAAACATGAAAATTGATTCTAGTCGATTGTATAATGGAGCGCTGGCTGCTCTAGACAGCAATCGACAAAAACAACAGATGGATCAAATTTTTTAAAATATTTTAATTATTATAAATATTTTCTGGAAATATTTGATACAGAGATATATTATTCTTCTATATAAATATATATGTATATCTTTATAAATAAATATATATTATTTTTAATATTCTATATTCACCAAAAGCAACAATAGTTAGATGGTGTGATATTACAGCTCTGTGATAAACTTATGTGTAATTTTCCAAACCTTTATTATTCAGTACTTTAAAATTTTATTGTAAAGAAATTAGTTTTTTAGCAGATGGTTTTAAAATATTTTCATTGAGAATTGTTTGACAATCAAAACTTTACTATAATTTATCCAGTAATTAAAATGCCTTGCTAAAACATAGTTGATATATCCATCATCTCAATTTATCTTTTATATTCATTCTTGAGAAAATCCTAAAAATACATGTTTTATTTAAAGTAACAGAATACACCATTACTTAAAGAAAAGGATAATTTCAGTATCAATTTATTCCTCAGTGGCTTTTTCAAACTCTATGTTTCACTTTAGAGTAAGAAACATAAATTCCAAAAAATCAGTTTAAGGAACAAGATGACCATTAATATCAGTCCAGAAATCTTACTGTTATTATTACCATATGCTACTATTGGTCAANATTGTTTTGTCTTTCATTTTATATATATAAAACAATAGTTCACTTTTATACTAGAGAACTGATTATATATATAATTTTGTATGAAAATATATTTTTTGGATTATTTAATGATTCATCTTGTCAAGTTTTGTTGTCTCTAAGCATTGTTAGGTCACTAACTGTATGCAATTTTAAGGGATGGACAAGGAGTTGAGAGAATTGTATGTGGGTGTGATTTGGACACTGAATCAGGCTTGCCATTTACATTTTGATCCTGTTTAATTGAGGAAAAAGTATGCTTACAAGAGTTTTGTTAATTTTGCCTATAAGGGATTCAACTTTGATTGTTCAGTTGGAAAGAGAAAGTCCAGGGAAAGTGAATGTTGCTTAGGTCATTGATGATCGGTCCCTCAGTGATTGATTTACATGTTATGGGTCAATTGCCCCAGAGCTCTTTTCGTCTAGTGAAAATAAATAAGATGAGAAGTTAAGATCAGTTAAGGTGTTTGTCCACCAAAGTACAACAAAGGAAAATTACAAATTAATTTTAAATTAAATCATGAAATTTTTTATATGACAGAAATGACATAGCATAAAATTGATTATGTAATTAGCTAAGTTTTTTATTTTTTGTAAGTGAATAAAGTGTACAATAAATCTGACTTATGGAACCTGTAACCAATGCGTGTCACTTTTTCTTTCAACAACCAAACGTTTTCATAACCCCTTCTGGGTTCTTCATCAAGATAACAGCTGGATCAAATTGATCGGTTACAGGTTCCTTAAGTCAGATTTATTGTATTGTATACAACCCGATGTGCAGTTGATATTATATATAAAGTGAATAAAGTGTTTTTAATAAAAAATTTATATAATAGTGTACAAAATGGGCTTAAATAGACTTGGCTAAATATTACATAATGGAAAGGGGAAATGCAGAGACGTTAATAAGTCAGGGAATCAAACATGGAATTACCTGTACCGACCCTGCAGAAGAAAATTTCTTCTAGGAAGAGTCTTACTCAACTTTGTAGCTTTCTTTTAAATTATAGTGTACAAAATGGGTCTAAATAGACTTGACCAAATATTACATAATGGAAAGGGGAAATGCAGAGACGTTAATAAGTCAGGGAATAAAGTCATAATTGGTCAGGGATAGTCAGAGAATCACAGATGGAATTACCTGTACAGACCCTGTATGTATGTTTGTTCACATTTCTTTTAAAGAAATAAGGATCAAAAATAGTGTTCTCTTGAATACCTGTCCATACCCATAACCTCATTTGACAACACTGTATATGTTAAAAATACAAATATAATAAATGTTTATGAATTAAATTTCTATAGCATTCATATTGCAATGAACAAATTTTAAAAAAGTATAGTACCAGAAGCTGAAAGTTTTATTTGAATTGTTTATTTTAGGGTACAGATGAAACAGTACGTGTTGTATCAATGGATAAAGACTTTCATGTTGATTGTTATATCTGTGAGGTATGTATTTTTATGTAGATTTTATGAGTAAGCATATAGTCTATAAAAATACCAAACATCTTTAGAATTCTTATGATAGGATGACTGATTAAATTGAAACATATACTGTATTATACAAGGATATATTGTAAATAATGCCAAATCTTAAGAGCATTTTTTGTCTTACAAGTTCTTATTGGTTAGAAGTTATATTTTATGGTAAAAGTGATTAATCCGGTGGTTATACATCATCACCAACAATTTTGGTAAATGTGATAAATTTATTTCATATATTGCAAATTTAATCACATTTATCAAATATTAAGCATAATTGCCAGTCTAGGATGGTAAATTTGATGTGTAGCTCACAAAGAATAGATCATATTAACAAGGCATTAAGTGTAATCTTTATGAAGCAATGTTTGGTTCACCCTTAAAAGTTTGACTGGAGACAACATCCCTTCCTAATGATGCTATAGCAGATGTTTATGTTGAAAAGAAAGCTACAAGAGTTGAGTCACTAGATCAAAATCAAAGTCAAAATTAGAAGAACCCAATGATGAATGCTATCACTTGGAAAAAAAGGAGAGATGTTTTTCACAATTACCAGAAACAAGTTTGTGCTGTGACAGACAATTTCTTCCAGTAGAAAATGTACCAAATATCACTCCATTTCTTAGGGAGTGTGCAATTTTCGGGAGGTTAGAGGTAACAAACATGCTCATATAAAGGAAAATGTAATTCAACAAAATACAAGTAACCAATGTAATTCAACCAAATTATGTAACCAAAATGTCATAATAGTTTTTATGTTTGAATAAGCAGTAAGAATAATTACTGTTCTATATTTTTTCCCAACAAATCTTTTGATATTTTTGTACACACAATTCTAAAATTAAACTGAAACAGCTTTATTTTAGTTTTTTTACGTTCATTATATTGTTCTAATTTTAATAAAACAAAAATTATTTTTTATTCTTTAAAATCCATGTTTACTTTATTAAAACAACACAAGATGGAAAATTTTATATTTATCAAATTTATGAACTACATTTTGGAAATTATGCAAAAATTGGTTTAAAAACAATAAATTTGTGATATGTATCAAACTTACAAAATTTATTTTGGAATTATACATAATTGCAGTAAAAGTGAGAAATTTAGTGAAATTTATCAAATTCACCAAGATGATTATGCATAATCACCAGTTAATCACTTTTACCATAACACGTACACCCTTTATGAATGTGTTATGTATGATGTGTTGAATTTCAGAAGCCAATATTTCCATGATAAATGATTTCGAAAAAAATAGGAAAAGGCTGCATAAAGTCTGAACTACAATAAAATTCTGGTATCTTTTTTTGTTAGTAAGCACAAGTATGTGTACAGTTGTGATATTAGACAGATAAAATCACCTGCTACTAGAAATACATGAATTTAAAAAATTAGATATGGACCTGTCAAGTTTTGAAGTTCCATTGTGGATGTGTCACTTTTGAGTCTGATTACACTGTTGTTCCATGGAACAAGTTTATGAATATGAAACACTAGTTCAGTCCAACAAACATTTTTTTTATTTAATTTCTCAGAATACTTAAGGTTTTGTGCATTGAATAGATGTGTTAAATGCAGCTCAAATTGTGAACAAACACACTTGTTTGTGCTAGAACACACAAACTCAATAACTGTCTTGATTCAAAACTATGTATTAGTGTATGCAGGGGAGATGTCTGTTTTGGTAGTGCAGGTGGAAATGTTGGGTTTTGGAATTACAAAAGAGCATGTTGAGCCTATATTTGTCGAATATTGAAAACTGGGGTCAACTTTAACTACTAATAGCAGGGATGGCAAACCTATGGCACACGTGCCTAAAGTGGCACTATAGAGAAATTATCTGGCACGTAACATATCATATGATTTCGATTGATCATCTGTCTTTTTCAATCATCCTTTTCTCAATAAGCTTTTTTTTTTACATTTATTGTAATTAAAGCATATTCGTATAATTTCTTTAAACATTGTTATTCGAAGCTTAAAACTTTGGCACACATAAACATCTTTAAAGCTAAGTGTACTTACTATATGGCACATGGGTTCAGAAAGGTTAGCCACCCCTGACTTATAGTATTGATATATAGCAGTGTATAATATTCTTTCTTTCACCAGTTGTTTGAAGATATCTAAAGATGAACTTACATTAGTCAATAATTAATAAAGTTTTCAAGAGAAAATTAACTTGAAATTAAATTTTTTCTAGTGTAAACAAATTTTCAGATTTATTTAATTGTTTAGTAATACAAAAATGACTTACTAAAAATGTTGTCGTTTTGGTCTAATTTGGTTTATTACAATATATTAGTGTATTACTATGTGTACTGACATTTTTTATAATTTAATATTACAACTCCTGGTAAAAAGTATTTGAACATGATATAAGAAAATAAAGGTTGGTGTATTGTTAGGAACTGTAAATTATGCTTGGAAAAAGTTTAAAGATGCAGGAGACATAAAAAAGTTGTGTCAAAGGTAATGTCCTAAAAACTAGCAAGTCTCAAGATCACCTATTGAAAAAAATATGTTTAACACATTGACTGCCATAATGATAAAAATTTTTGCAATCTCTGAGACCAGGCATTTTATTAATTTAATAATTTGAGAAATATAACAAGTTAACAACAGTCATACTCAATATTGCAGTTTTTTTTTAAATAAGATTTTGAAATGTGAAGCAAGCATGCCTTGCACGGCCTAGATAAGATAATTTTTATGTTAGTGCTATGTGATGCACACGTACCCTGCAGTTATGTATGTTTGAACCTGAATATTCTAGGAAGAAGCTTTCATTGTACACTACATATTTGTTCAGTTTGTGTTGTTTGCTTGTATTGGTAACTACAGGTGTCTAAAAACAAGTGAAAAATGCTTTTAGACACCTTCGTGAAAGATCTTCTAAATCTGATGGTTCAAGAAGACATATATGCTTTCCAAAAGGCTGAAGAAACAAATTTGCTTCACAAATTTGAAATTGGAAAGATTCTAATATTCAAGAAATGAAAATATTTTTGGGAATGCAGTTCTGGATTGGATTAGTTCAAATGCCAAAGCTGGTATGTTATTAGTCTAATAATGTCCTTTATTCTAACAAGGTAAAATCAATTGTCCTAAAACCAATTTGAGCTTTTGTGCAATTGGCATTTCTCTGACAATGAAAGTGGAAATATTTTGAATAGGCTTTTCAAAACAAAACCCCTTATAGATTATATAAGTCAAAAAATTCAAGATGCTGTAATACCTTCATGTAATGTCTGTAGATGAAACTA